CCAGGTACGTTTCTGAGTTACTTGTATGAGACCGATGCACAGTGTCCATCATGTCAAGTCAAGTGTGCGTGCCGACCGCTAAACTTGCTAGAACTACAAGGGTGTGTCTCCATGTGGGATCCGCGGAGTACAGGACACCCAACCCGCCGTTGGTCCATGCCAGCCTAATCGTCACATCTCTCTTCTTTGTAGTAGATTTCGTTTAGGTGTTTTGTGTTTGCTTCTCATGTTCCATACCATCCTCCTCGGAAATGGCTGCTGCTGATCGGGACTAGCTCGATCGACAAAAGGGTTCCCAGGATTGCACAAGATCCGCTAGAGGCTATGGTGCCTTTAAGGTCAAGCTCCTGTCATGGTTCCTGTCATTTAGCGGAGTCCTTTGTAGATGTTAGATCACCCTTAGAGCAAGAAAAGCAATAATTCTTACAATAAAGGTTGATATTTACGATAGAACCATTTTCGAGAAAAGCCCCCTGCCAGGTGCATCGCAGGCCTTGGATGATGGTGGGCACTTGGCTGGGTCGCAAGCTCTTGGCGCCCGACACCGACAAGCCTCCGGACGGTTACCGAACCAGTTTGAAGTTGGCAGAGATCGCGCTGAGCCCTCTCAAAATAATTCTGGAGCCTTTCGTTGCGGGGGCGTATTACCAGAAGAATATCTTCAAACGATTCATTCAGCGTGCTCTGTGGAGCCCTGTCGCGAACTCGAAGTATAACTTCTTGGGGTACTTCTTGGCCATTGGCATCCCCGCAGCTTTCCCAGCCAATGGTAGAAGCCGAACTTTTTTGGGGTTTTGTTTGGTCTACATTCTAAAGCTTGAGTTTTTAGGTTTTCTGGTTGGGTGATTGGAGAACGGAGGTAGTGTTTGTGGTGCTGCTGGCCGGGTCTCTGGTGAGCCTGGTGGCTTTTACGTTCATCATCCTGGGGCTTCTAGCCGTGGGGTTTCGACTCACAGGCCCCTGCAGTCGGAACGGCCGAGGGTTTCAGAAAGGTCAGTGTCCTTGACTTGGGGATGATTCCGCTAAGATGTTTCCTCGGTCCTTAGGTTGATTTACTTGGGGACACTTCTGAAGGATGGAGCAACCGGACAGCCTGGCAGCGCAAATCCATAAGCCGTTAAGACCTGTAAACCCATCAAACGCACCTTGCGAAATATTTGTAAAACCCACTGGGAGCCGATAAATCCTTGAAGGCGTTCGCTACACGCTCAACCTCAGCCTGTTCGGCCTCTTTG